AATTGCTGGTATGAAATAAGTTACATGCATATAGTTTGATTCTTTTTTCGGAAACTTTTTAAAATATATTTAGGCAATACGTACTGAGTATATTGATGCAATTATGGTTGTATTTGTATTTCAATACCTCCCTGGTCGACTCTGAGTTTAGCGTAAAGATATTCATAAAGAAAAAGTTTCAGCCATTAGTCTTCTTTTAATTTTCTTTTTACTGTGTTACTTACTTTGTGAACGTTGCGATCGCCAGCAGGTTAACTAAAGCATAGCTTGGTGAGTTGTGGATACCTCCGGATCCTTAATATAAAAATAAAAATTAATTGGTTATCCCCATTTTGTCAGACAAACTATTTTCGAACAATGGTAAAGGAAACCGTACAATTGGCCGTTGAGTTGGCATGTTTCATACCTCAAACTTTGTGTTTAACCGGTAGACTCAATCGGCAACACAAAAAATAAAATAAAGTTATAATAAAAAAGCCTATAAAGTCATACCAGACGATTGAATATCGGTCAGAGTGTAAAAGGCAGACTTCGGACCAGGGTTAAACGTAGATATTGAGGGTAAAATGCAGACTCCAGACTGTAGAATTTTCAAATGAATAGTGTTATCATTTCCATCATTGAAAGCTAACCGTAAACAGGCCAACCGGAGCGCTATTTAGGCTAACCAGAGTGATATTCAGTCTAACCGGAGTCCAGACTTTCACTGCGATTTTAGCTTGGTCTGCAGTTTGCATTTTACCCTCAGTCTGAATTTCCCCCCGTTCTGCAGTCTGCAGTCTATGTTTTACGACTGACTGGATTGAATGATTCTAAATACTATGAGATGTGGACCAAGACGTCAGCAACAGTCACCCTATAGCGAGGCAGACAAACAAATCTGTAAAGCTCACCTTCGTCGTCGCATGTATCGGGGCAAGTTCCTTTAGAGTCTCCCGGGCAATGTCCATCCTCCTTTTTTTCGCTAGGTTCAATTCCTTCACACTTGTCTGTTGGAGTGCACTTCCTTTCTACAGTTAATTCTCCGCCTGCCCCATCACAGCAAATGGTTTGGCATTGCCCGTCTTTTGGTTTGTATTCTAAAGTGACTCCTAAAACATGACAGACCAA